AAACTGTGTTAAAAGGATTCCTAATCCTCGAAGGCTTAGGTTAGGGTTTCTGCTTCTTTTAACAAAAGAAAAAGTTAACAAAAAGTGTGTTAGGAATCCTTTGGATCAAAAATATTACTACCATGCATAGTTTCTATTTACTCCAATAATCACAATTATTTTGTATTGTATTTTTATTTCATAAACTGAGTGAAATAGAAAGTTATTAGTCTATGAAAATTGGTTCACATTTTCCTTTTTACAAAATGATGCTAAATAGTACCTTTAGCTTATGGAATTGTTTTTCTAGATTTTTTTTTCGAAAATATTTTACAGTTAGGAATCCATACTTAGATCAAAAACTATGTTGTACATTAAAAACAAGACAAATGTGGTCAAAGCCAGAGAGAGAAGATACATAAGTAATGGGCTGAACAGAAACAGTGAGTCAGTGATGATTTTTCTTATTTGTTTCACACTTGAAAAAATGCACCTATATACACTCTGAGTTCTAAATGCTACACGCATAACCAAAAAAAATGCACATATATATAATCCACCAATTTTTAAGGATTTGGATATTAGTTTAGCATTTACTAATACTACACGCACAACCAAAAAAAAAAAAAAAATTGGTGGGGTATTATGGTAGCTAGTGTAAAATAGAAGTAGACAAAGAAACCAAACAAAGTTAATTAGTGATAAATTGATAATGACACCATCTTAACCACAAGTCTTCAAAGATTTGGTGTATGTTTGTGTTTGAACAGAAGCTGTGCCTATGATCTAATATTTTTTCAGATTGTAAAACCTCAACTACTCTTCCTAGTTGAACAGAAGATGAGTCTTTCTATAATATATATAAACCCTAAACACAGACCAACAACATCAATTAGTTTTTTCAAACAAGTTAGCACTAGCTAGCAATGGCAAAACTCACTTTAGTTCTTGTGATATCGTTTAGTCTCCTCTTCGTTGGTGTCCTTCACGCAACCAAGACTAGCCTTCCAGACCAAACCAAGGGTTTGCACCGGTCTGGCCCTTCTCCAGGAAGTTCAGATAATCCACCTGGAGCTCCTCCAACACAAACCACTAACCGTTTGCTTTGGGTTGAACATGTGAAGCCACCAAAAACTGCAAGCAAAATCAAGACTTTGTTCTGAGTCTTTGTATTGCATATATGCCGAGGATGTAATAATCGGCGGTTATAGTACTATACGGCGAGATTTTCTATATAACTAAGTCAGTTCTTCGTATGTTATGTATAACATTTTAACTTTCATTCTATTTGCATTTCAAATATATTATAACCAAGTTATTTCCGATAAAGATAAGCTGCGAAAGTTTGAATCACACACAAAAGGTGTGATCTTTAAATTCAATGACTACTTGAGGATAGTGAAATTCCACATATAAGCTCATGAACATTTAAGTACATCTCGAAAAATAAGCCATAAGAACTTAAGAAGTTACATGTAAGAAAATACTCTAAAACCAATCTTTGAAACTGTTCAAATTCGTTGTGTGCTTCAGTCTTTACTTCTTCATGAATGTATATATCAGATATTTGACATAGAAATCTCAAGGCTTATCCTTAATTGTCATGATAAATCCCAAAGTGCTTCAACCCTAATTTGCCTCTGACAATTTGTGTAATAAGACTGCGTGATACATTTATGGGGCTTTTATTTACTAAGAGCTTTGTGTTTTTACACGCTTAATGGGCTTTTTAATTTTAATGGGCATGAAAATTATGTCGAGACTGGAATATTTTGAGTTTGATTTCTGCGGTTTCAAAATATCAAAGAGCTTTTTTCTAACTGAAACTTTGAACAAAGAATTGTGAATAGAATTTATAACCATCACTTAAATGATCGATATCATCATGAATCACTTAATATCAATACTAAAGAAAACAAAATTTCATTGTTTTTATTCAATCCTTTGATTAGTTTTAAACCAATTAGGTTAGATTCTAATAAACCTAATTGTCGTGACGTCTAAAAAGTTATTCTTTCTCATGTTACCGCTAATATTATATCAGCAATTTTCAAATACGAACAAATGTAATCATTGAATAAACCAAGAAACAAAACCCCTTCTTCTTGTTGATTTGTTCATTGAAACTCTTCTTCGTCTTATACTAATGAACTTGTGGCTACCAAAATTTTGATTCCTCCACATTAATGAATACACTTAGATATTTGACCAAAATGAGATGTTAACGTTACAATTGAAGTATATGCGAAGGTTACGCAAAGAAACAGGACCGTTGGAAACTCTTTTTTATTAACAATTCATGTATAAAAAATAATTGAAACTGCATGCCAAAGATCTTGGAACTACGTGACATGTCCAAAGTACGTTGTCTTTTTAAGCATTTCGTTTTCTTGTTTGCTCTTTTTTCATTTAGTGTTGTTGACATTTTTCTTTTCTTGCTTTTTAAAAATAAAATAAAAATTTGTGACGTTGGGGATAAAAGAAGGAACCAAATTCGAATCTATTTTGAGGAAACAAGATTGATTGACTTTCACATTTAAGTACGTGTTTGTCCTTTTAAATTTGGAAAGCGGTATAAAGTAAAAAACAATTTAGCGATCCTTTATTCCAATCCCTTGTAAGATAAATAAATAAAATAAAAACACATTAAAGAGGTCTGAGATCAACAATATGAACCTAGAGCCTAGAGGTATTCGATCTGGTTTTCGTATTCACTTTTAGTTAGAATTTTCTGTATATAAAAACATAAACAAACTAAGAAATTTGTTTGTAGGATTAAAAAATATTCTTTGATTTTAAATACTTTTAAGAGTACGTGTATTTGTATTGGTTCGGCTATAGTGTGGTCGGTACAAAATATACCATGTGATTTAATTGGTTTACTGTGTAGGTAATTCTTATAATACTTTTGGTTACATATCATAACAATATTAATTGGTTTACCATGTGATTAATTGATTTAATTTGTATTGGTTCGGCTATAGTGTGGTCCAGATTGGGGTCGGTCCAAACCGAGAATGCGGAAATATTGATTATGAAAATACAATAAACAAAGATGAGAGTGTCTTCACTCTTCACCGATCACAAATAGACCAAACTTAGCTTCAACACTAAAAAGACAAGAAAACAAAAAAAAACCACCAGAGTTTAACAGTCATCACCAAATCGATCCTTACACGCAATCCTATGATATGACGAACATTCCCACGTGCTTACACGTGCCCTCCACGTGGCATCTCCACCATTCGATGTCTGTCCAACAGTTTTCTTCCCCTTCATTCGATGTATTATGTTTTAACTATTTTACTTTTGGATACCAAATTTATTTGTTCCAAACGCAATCTTCGAGTTTGATTGGTAAACAGTTATATAAAAGTGATTCATAAATAATAAAAGATAAATGGAGATGAAATCTACGCAAACAAATTAGTTTGCTAACAGTTTATATATTTTATTTTTTTTGACGTTGCTAACAGTTTATATATACATGTAAATCTC